AATAGAGGTGCTGGGATATTTTGGTGTTGGTCGATACTAAATTTAATAGTTTTTTCGAAACATATTTATTTATTCGTGCGTACACTTAAGATTTCTAATCCTGACTACTATTATAAACAAGAATGAGTTTGTTATTTTGTTACACTTTCATGCTTTCACAATTCAGACGAACTTTTGCACTTTGCACTTTTAAAAGCTAGTGTAGTAGTAAACATTTAGCCTCGTTTCTTCTAAATAAAGTATGCATATGAAAAGTTATAGATAGGTCTAAAATATTAAATACAACTCAGTAGGTAGGGCAAACACATAAATGGGTCGTATACTTTTTGCGAATTTAGTAAGCGTAAAAAATATACATACATTTGTAATGTAATGCAATGCGATAATTTATCAAGAATATAATTAATCAAAAATCACTAAATCGAACTAAAAATGTGCCTAGTGATTCCGTAAAATGACTTTATACATTGCATCCGAAGATATATCTTGACTTGTTCTCTCTCGTAAAGCAGTCGTCGTCCACCTCACAAGAAAACCGAAGTGAAGTAATAAGAAAAAGGTAGAAGTGCCCCATTGAATGATAACTCCGGGCCCTTTGTCTCGCGTCCGTCTTGACGAATCGAATTAAAAGGCTTATTGTGTCTACGTGACAGCCTGGCCCCTCACAGGCGCCGACACTTTTTGTCTCAGCTAAACTAAAATATTACAGACCATTCACTAAATCCCCCCACCCCAACGTTAGGGAAACTTGCTACTTGATTTGTACTCAATTTTTAACAGGGACTGTTAATTAAGAGAGTTGCTCTTTATTGGCGGGAGTAGTCTTAATGCGTTAATTGTAGAAATGCAATCTCGGAAGAGGGCGTTTTTAATCATTCCAACGTCATATTTTAATTTAGAAGTTTCTTTTTGTGACGTAATTAATGAATTTTAATTAATGGCATTGTTTGATGGATATTTCTTATCCTTTTGATATTATATTTTTGTTTTTTTTATTTTCAGGCCTCCTTGCGACATCGACTACCTTCTCCATCTGATCAGGGTAAGATTTATTGCTTGTAACTCTAAATGCCTTGTAATTAAAAATATTTTGTCAAAACTTTTTTATTAAAGGTCATGAAATATGGGATCTGATATGAAAATAAGCGAGGCAATATAATATCTTGGATTTAAAAACGATACCTCTGTGGCAAATTTAGAATACCATTTTTTACTGACGGAGAGCAATACCACTGAACATATGGGCGGCCTCGACCTGAGTGATGCAATTCATAAGAAAGTATATCACACAAATCTCAGTAATGATCTCGTCTTACAAGGATTTATGTAACAATATCATAAAATACCGTTAATGTTTCTAAATTTATCAGCATATTATCGTATAGATGTGAAAGTAAATTACACTCCATGATAAATTGAATAGTAAAAAAATCTGTGTAAAGCAATATTTACTAGTAGATAAAAACACCCTCAGCTAATTTTTACTAAGTCGCCCGGCCACATTACTCAAAGCGATCATTTGTCGAACGAAGCCTTGAAGAAACGGCACTTCCCTTGTACAACATGTCTTAATTATTCATCACATCCCACAAGTCGCAGACGCCGACCAAAAAGCGTACTATAAAAATATATACTAAAACGAACACGCACATTAATGAGGGCCGTGCAATATTTATACACAAGGAACCCTAATTGCTAGGGTGGAGAGTGGAAAAAATGGGCAATTTCACGTAATGTAATATGTATATTTAAGGTGAGGTTCCCAAACGCAGCTCGCCCTGGAATTTTGTCGCCGTCGTACTTATTACACAAAACCACTTCAAACGTCTTTTTACGTTGATTTTAGTGGCACAACAAGAAAGTTACTCTACTTAGAAATTAGTTTTAAAAGCATCAAGAAGAACAGAAATAGGATGCTTTTATAAATGGTATTTGGTTAATTATTTATTTTAGTTTTTTAAGAATACGTGTACAATGATGGATTATATTTCAATCATAAAAAAAAGAATCTACTAGTAGATTTATAATCGACATAGTCATTTCATTTCAACATTATATCGTACATGTATATATTACGGTATATATGGTACGTTATGTCGTTTTGTGTATCCTAAGCAATGTTTACACCCAAAACTTTACTGTGATAGTTTTATATGAACATTGCCTGGAATGTAGAAAAAAACAAATGGTAGGTACTTTAAGTTCAGAAAAAAACAGTTTTTGACTTAGAGAAAAATAACTTTTACTTGATAGAGGCTTGTACTATTATAAATGCTAATGCAACTTTACTTGTTACACACGGATCACCAAATCGTGTGTGCAAACATTGTCTAGGATGCACAAAACTACAGAACGTACCATATATCCCAATAGAAACAAAAATATAGTAGCAACCATAATCAACTGTGTTGTTATCAAATTTGAAAAAAAATATGTTTTTTTTATGATTAGGAATAGATACCCTGTGTCGCGGAGCACTTACAAACATACATGAAACGGACACAAAGAACACCCAGACTCAGAACAATAATTTGTGGGTTACACAAAGTGTCGTCCCATGTGATGTTTGAACCCACAACAGTAGTCGGCGTAGTAGGAAGTGGCGTGGCGACCGCTTAAACCACTACGCCATCCGTGCACTCATTCCGAATTATAAAACCGTTGGCATTTTATTATTCCTAAACTCAAAAAAAGTATTAAATTACTTCAGTATTATATAAGTAGAGTAACTTACTCAAACATAACGCAATAAGTGGCCGGGATTTTTATTTTTTCAATATGTTTAGGTGCTCAGCTTGCTCCCCTCGCCGCCACAATTTCCTCTTGACGGAAGCCCTCAATCTAATGATATGGCTGTGTTAAAAAACACAAGGAAATTTAATAACGCCAAGAGCCCACAGCCCACGAGAGAAAACAAAGAAAATTTAATTTCGACGATTCCCACATGCTCAATATCGTTGAGAAGTTATGCACTTGTACAAAACGTGAAAATTAAAAACAACATAGTAAAATGCTACGAATATTTCAGTCAGCGCATAGTGATGCATCTTCATCTCAATTTAGACTGATTATTTTAAACTTTAAACTTAAAATGTAGGAAGGGTCTGAGGCATTTCATTCAAATTTTATCAGTAATAATGATCAAATTGCATTTTTGCGGTAAAACAAATTAGTTGTCACAATTTCTTTGGCTCTCTTTGCCCTACAGCATAAACCATTAACTAACAAGAATAAACTTACGAGGGCTACTTTTGAATTGTCAAACACATCAGTAATTAATTGTGTGGTGAGTTAAAAAGTAAACAAATTAGAGAAGTACTCTTATTTGCGCTAGTAATATGTAATGGAGTGCAGGAAAAACCTACAGTTTGACTCTGAGCAAATCTGCATATCACGTTACAGGGACGGTTACCCTACAATAATTATACGGGACAAAGCAAAGGTAAGTAAATTAGTTCCGCACTTAATGATCCGACAAAGCGCGTAAATCTTTTTAAAATGTGCACCCGAAGTGTTTCCTCTTCCTGTGGGGTAAGTAAACAGTACGTTAAAAAATATATTTGCATAATCGCGGGGCACGTATGCAAATCTGTCCCGTGCAGGGAAAGGCGGTGAAAATTGTATCAAATTGTAACACCGACACATAGGCTTTGCCGGCAATTTGTCAAGCGAGCAATAATTATTTTGAGCCCCCGCTTCGTCGAATAGCTTACAATATGGGCTGGCATAAAGCGTGTCATTTGTACTAAACATTATGACGTGTCGCAGATTCTTCTTTATTTATGCAACGATATGAACGTTTAACTTTTCTAAACAAATATGGATAGGGATATAGGAATAATATAGGAATAAAATAGAATAATATAGAAATAAATATAGGCGTGTATTAACTTATCTGTCGTACTCTAAGCCAAAAGAATAAATGTATTTAATGAAGTAAATATACGGTCTAGGCTACCTTATATAATTAACAGTACTACACAAGAGAAAAGAGTCATTTAGAGAAAAAAATTAAACACACGAAATTTCGTTTCACTCCAACAACCCTTTCGAAAAGCAAAATTGGTCCAATTGTCTATTTCTCACGGTTTTCAATAAAAACAAACCATAGCAAATGTGTGGGTTGGTCTCGAATTAAGCCGGTGGGCCATCAGCGGCCGGTCGTGCAATGGCCCGTCCCGGCTGAAAAATGTTATACGCCACCTGTGGCTCGACGTGTAATCGTATGCGTTTATCTCTGCCCGGAACGTATGCACTGGGCTACACCGGATTATACGAATAACAAGGATATAGAGAGTATGCAGGAATGTCATAAGCTAGATTAGAATAATCTTTGAAGATGTATTACTTTTTTATTTTTTTGTCATAAGGGACAAACGAGTAAGTCAGTAAGGAACTGCCGGCGCTCATGGATGGCTGTAATTTAAGAGTCACGAATACTTCAAAGTCGTATCGGATCGAAAATATGTAAAACAACACATTTTTCAATGACAATAAAAATAATTAATTACTTGACTTAATATCCTATAACTTAATGTCCTGAGCTTCGCACTTAATCTCGCTCCACGTCTTGCCAATTCTCTTCACCTCATCTGTGACAGTACGCCGCCAAGTTTGCTTAACAAACAAAAGCAATAAAAATAATACAATAACTAAATTAAATGGTTTTCCAAGTATATTTATCCTAATGTTATCATTTTTTATAATTTTTCTCTATAAATAATACTAGTACTTTATTCTATAAATAATACTAATATTGCAATTTTTTATAATAGGTAAAATTATATTTTAAGTCTATGAACTTGAAAACTTTGAGATTCCTGAATCTTCAAGATTCAAAGTAAATAAGTAAAACGCCAAATTTTCAAAATCACGTCATTTTGTTTCAACGATCCAAATTTAAAAAACCGAACCATCTAGATGGTTTCATATCAACGTACACCATTTATACCTAGTAAACCCCGTGTGCATCCATTCAATTCCACACCAATATTCAGAATTTATACGGCGCTCAACGCTCGGCAATTATCATTCACGCAATGACTGGCCAGTGTCCACTCGTCGCTCCGGCCCCGAGCGTCAGCCCCGATACATTCCCGCACCCAGCCAATTAACACGCCCATTGCATCCTGCTCAATTGACCAAACGATTTATTGACTAACCTTTTTACCCAATATTTTTATCCCTTACATTTTGAGCATCGACAACAATTTTCCCACGGTTATGAGGTTCTAATAGTGAACCACGGTCCTTTATGAAGCCGAGCGAACACAATAACGATAAAGGTGAGCAGAAAATCCGGACAATAAAGCCTCGACAAAAACGCTGAGCGGGGGCTAGTGCAGGCCAAATAGTTCGTGAAATTTCGAAGGGTCCCGTAGTGGGGTACGCGCACTGGACGGGACACTTTACGACGGTCCTCTCAGTAAACCTGCCCATTATGTTGGGTTAAAGGATCGACCTACTCGAGTTATAAAGATGCCGAACGCTGGGCTAAGATTTGTAGCCGGTTTATAGATGTAGAAGGGTTGTTAGATGCAGCGGAGGGTATTACGATCATGTCGAGTCAAGAGGTTGTATCATATCCAAGAGTCAACACGGCGAATATGATTGAGGACTTTTAAAAGGGCTGTGCGGAAATATTGAAATATGATGCTGTTTTTTTTAGTTCCTGTGTTTCATTCACAGTGAGGTTTTGTGATGGTGAAGTATAGCAAATTTTTTAGTCATATGCCTCTCTATTTCCTATTGCTACGAGTACGTCATAGCTTTCTAAGTGATACGTTAAATTAGAAAATGGTTAATTAACTGCTTTGGTAACCAGCTGAATTTTGTAAAATTATTTATTCGTTTTGAAGACAATAACGATAATTATGTTATACGATTTTGCTATTGAATGCAGGCAATAATTTTTATTCCTTATAAGTGTCATCAAGTGTTAACCTGTTTATTTTCAGAAATTGTATTAAATACAATTTCTAAAAATAGACAGTTTTCCAAAAATTAAACATTTCGCTAGCTGAGTAACACCTTAACGACACTCCAAAGACAACACTACATTCAAACGTACAAAGTTGCAACAAAACGTTTTCATTCTACCATCGTGGTTCACGCAATAGTAAATCTTACTTGTACAACTTTAGGTTCAAAATGAGTTGTATATTTTATAGTGAATGTAGACTATAAAGTGGTTTGTAGGTGAGACATCTGAGGCTAATTGTACAGGGCAATCGTGAGTCCAGTGCAAACAGAAATGAAGGTAACGGCGTTTACAGGTGTTTGCTAACAGCCCTCACGTAAACAGCTCAGTGCCTACCTCCTTTTGAAAACGTTCTCTTGACGTACTGGTGCTAAGCTAAGTTACCCTTGTTTGTAGATCTTGCTGTATATTTCAAACAGATGTGTATTTTAATTCAAAGAGTATGAAACAAACAACCCAAACCATAGTAAGCAGTTACCATTAATTTACTAGGTATACGTACCTAATCACTTAATACTCTGTAATACTGTAAAAACTAAAGGAAAGGAATTATCCAGAATCCATATAAAAATATTGCTTATATGCCGTATGCCGTGTGGAGTACTCCGTATAATATACCTTTGTTTAAATGTTAGAGACGACTTATTATAAAGTTAGTGTATCTCTAACAATAATATAACTCATCAACAAAAGGAAAACCAATAAACATCGGTTGCAAATATTTGTGAATAAAACAAAGGTTGGTATTTCTAACACGGAAACCTGTAAAGTTGTACTTGAAATTAAAGGCAAAGGCGGAAATATTCACCTAAAAAGCGGGAGTGGTTACTGAGCGACTAGGTTGTGGTATCATCGGCCGCCCAGACACGTCTCGGTCAATCCTTTTGACGCTCTAACCTGTCGTGTGAACCGGCCCTTTGAGCTCTCACCTATGACCGCAAACGTTTTGTGTATTCTCCTCTATGGTGAATTAATTTGGTAAGATTGGATGAGATATGTTATATACCTACTGACTGTTCAGACGCTTTCAGTTCTGTTCTACTCCACATATTCAAAAAACATTTTTGTTTAGATAAAATTACTATTTTCATTCTTTTAATAAATTTTGTTAAATTTTACAACTGTTGCTACTGTAACAACTTGAGTATTGCTAGTATTTCATCTCCTCACAACCGCATCCTAACAGGAGTGTATGCATTTGAAAAATCGTTTAACAGTAAACAGGAAGTATATATTTAGAATAGTTCTGATTGATGTTTATTAGATAATATATAAAACCTTTTAAACGTTCTGTTGTAATCTTCACAAAGGCGAGATTCTTCTCTTGGATGATCTTTCTCTAAGAAAATGTGTCTGCAATTAAGGTTTTGTAATTTTCATTTGCAAATGAAACTTCAAAAAAGCAGTGGCAACAATAATTATATTTTACTATTTCAGTAAAACTTACTGCTAAAAATACAAAACTAAAGAGTAGCATGGTCAAGGCCAATCAGAATCTTTTACATATTTAAAGAAATTTATAAAGAAAATGGAATATAAATATATATATTTTTTATTTTATTAGAGGGGGCAGATGAGCAGACTGGTCGCTCGAGTACGCTCTTTATAGTACAATACAAGTAATGAAAAAAGGGAATCGATCCTTGTAGGTTTTTCCAACGAAGTTGATAAAAATATATTGATGAGACATCAGTTAGGTTTCTGTAGATAAAAGCCTTTCTCTCTCTCTCTCTCTCTCTCTCTCTCTGTCCTGCCCGGACGAAATAAGAATACAAAACAAACACAAACCCACAATCAATTCAACAACAATTCAAACGCAGGTATTAAAGTAAAAATACAGATCGTTAAGCCTAAGTTCCTAAGCCAGATACTTGGAAGTTTGGTCGTAGAACCGCGAATCCAAGCTAGAGGTTCTTAGGGGGCGAAATATGCAGTGCACCAACGTCGGACCAGCTTGCTGCATATTACATGAGACCAAGTTTTACCGATTTCTGCAATATTTTACCGTTGGAAATCCCACACTCGGTTCTATGTATATGAAATTGAATATGTTAGTCCCACTATGGATGCATGAACATAATCCTATAAATATTTGCATAAATCGTCAAGCTTGAGTTCATAAAGAAGGCTTTACTTATCGATATTTTTTTTTAACGTATGTTGAAGTAATAATCATAAAAAAACATAAATAATAATGATTGGTAAATAAAGGAGGCTTGAGCTTACAGTCCTAAGTAATTCTCTAAATCCTACCTTTGTCTGCTATTCATAATATATCTACTTTATGACTGAATCATTTGCATCTACGGTACCTACTTGTAGCGACTTACATATACAACGGAAAAGATCTTCAATACCATCTAACGAGGACAAAATAAACTACGGAGTAAGTTCTAAGCTTACATCGTTCAATGAAAGTTATAAGTTAAGTATAGGTACGAGTATATATATATACAACTTCCCAGCACTAATCTTAAGGACGTAGCCCTCCAAGCATGATCATCATACCTACTAGGATCCTGACTCTGTGTTGGAGGGTCATAACACCCGTTTCTATGTATACTTAACATTTACAGAAATAAAGATTACATTTCACGAAAAGGCAAGAAACTACAAAAAGAATCCAGCAGTAATATTAATTCAATATTGTTCGAATCGACTAGTTAATAGAAGCATTGTACTGGCATACAATAGTTCCCACACCGACTGAGATTACGCTCGCTTTAATTTCATTGCCTAATACACGCTCGTATTTGCTATCCATCCGTGTTTGCACTGCACCTCATTCATTCTACCAGACGTCGCGATATTTTCCTATTGTCTAGACGAAATCTTAACGAATATCTAAGTGGTAGTATAAATTAAATATGAAGTGTGATGTACATATATTCTTTGCATGAGAATATGTAGTACTATATGAAAATGGCTCACATCAAGTTATTCCCCTACAAAATAAATATTCATTATAGTTTTTGAATTATTTGAGCTTCAAGAAAATTAGGCTGAGCTATTATATGGAGTTTTTAAAACGAGGTCGCAAAAGCAAAAGTGAGTATCTCAAATGATCTTATAGTATCAACAAATGTAAGTTGGGAACGAGGGCGGTATCTCCAAATTGCTCATGTAAGACAAAATTAACCCTCGCCCACATTAACACAGATAAGTCGGCGAGCTCATTTGCGAGCCTTCCGGCTGGTGCTCGTTACATCTTGATATTCTTTACCCCTTCACCGATACCCGCACCACACGAGCAATAAATGGCGCGGAAGGAGCCGCTATCGCGCAGCCCGATATCTTCCATCCGAATTAATTTCACAACGTTCCTTCTCAGAAACGAACTAAGTTCGCGGACTTGTTATTTCGCCGCGCACCCGAGCGAGCGCGACTTCTAATCGCGAAGAGTCGCGAGATAAAATGGCGACCCATAATTACCATAACGCGCCTTTCGAAGATATGTGGAGAATCTTAATGGTACGGTGGCTCCGTAAATAATGGGCTCTTATGGGAAACTTGGTAAAGAGCACTGTTTCGTGTGTAATTTTAAGGGTTTCCTGCCTCACGTGCTTTTTGAATAATGTGCTAAATACGGAGCGAGCGCTAATGACGCTCGCGTTTGTTTTGATTTAAACTTAGACAATAGATTATCTTTATGATCGCCCGAAGGCGTCCTTGTAAATGTGCATCACTTTAATTTTAGTGTGAAAACAATCCGCTTATTCGAATCAGCTATTGTAATTGCACCAGGCTTTCAGTTTACTACGACACGGCTGAACCTCGATTTTTTGTTTCACCACATAATTATATAAATAAAACAATTGCTTATATACAGATATATACTAGATTTCCCTTGAGGTCAATTAAGATGTACCTATGTATTTGACCTTGACATCTAAATTCTCTAAGGTAAGGACAGACACATTTTGCTTGAGGTTGAGGGCTTTTTCACGCAAGTCCAGCGATGGCCGCCTCGGCCGGAGGCGACGGGGAGAACGGGGAAGACGTTCCGCCCGTCACGGATGCGCAGCTACGGGCGACTGTTTTATGGATCCGTTTTAAGATCACCGCCCCCGGGCCAGATGGAATACCTGCTTGAGTGCTGGCCCTAGTCCTCAACTATTTGTCCGACCGCCTCGGGGAGGTGTTCGACGCTAGTTTGGTATCCGGATGTTTCCCTGAGTAGTGGAAGAGCGGGAAGCTGGTCCTGTTGAGGAAGCCGGGACGGCCTGCCGATTCGGTGGCGGCGTGCTGTTGGTGGAGTCGTTAAACATCGCCATTGCATTCCATAGTCTGCCATTCAGCTACATCAGTGAAGCATGTAAATTACCTACTACTACCACAGGGTGCCAAAGTACCTGAGGCGGCTATTGGCAGACTATTTAGAGGAGCGTACCGTCATGTACGTGGACCAAAATAGTACTTTGTGTCGCCGGCCCGTGTCGTGCGGTGTTCCGCAGGGGTCCTTTTCTCGGACCACCCCTGTGGTACACCGCACGACACGGGCTGGGCCCGTCTGGGCCTTTCGATGCTGCTTTCTCCCTGGGCTCTAATCTGTTACGCTGACGACACACTACAGTTACAGCCTGGGGGAAGGGAGCACTTCCAAGAGTCGGCGCGCCTGTTCACAACGGACTTGACTTAAACAATTGAGCATACGTGAATTCCATTGAACACACCAAAGTTTTTGAGGTATGTTTTATTTTTAACATTATCTTTCAAGGGTCATGAAGATTTGAATCAATGAAAAATTTGTTGTGATTAAGTCAAACAATCACACAACAAAACGCAGTTATTAAAATTAAGAAAATCTTCTTAAATTACAAATATAGGTATATTCAGATTCTTTATTTATACCGAATTCACGAGATGTACATTTAGTGACGTTGGCAAATAGCAGTGTTGGTTAATTATTGAGCTCAAATGCATATAAGAACGGGTGCACACAAAGCGTTCGGTTGCGCGCTATCAGCGGCAGGATGCGGCGGTGTCGTGCTCGCTCGCGATTACGAGTGAGTTATGAGCTATTTCTGAATTGTGGTCGCCCGCGGCGCGCCGTGTCGCGCGGTATACCACCATCTCGTAGCTTCTTTCAATGCCAGTAATTAGCTCTTTATTTTAAATATACAACAATAACCGCTATCTTAAGCTTTACCTACTAGCCAATTTTACACTTCTTAATTTTAGAGAATAAAATTTAAAGTTCGAAAATTTCGATGGTATGAAATCAAAATAAAAAATTACACAAAACTAAAATAACATTGGTTTTTCTTCCATGTATTTTTGTAAATTTAGTTATACATATATGTTATCTGCAAAACATATTGAAAGTGAAAAAACATAAAAGTTCCTGCTAGAAGAAAAGAACCCCACCAAAATCACTGCATTGAAAATATTTAAGACACTACAAGTTTAGTTTACAAATATGATAATAAAAGCCGTCTAATAGAAGTAGATCTTGAAACAAAAAATAAAGTGTTCTAATAAATTCAAGAAATGAGTAAATTTTATTCCTAATAGTGCTTAACCTAACCTAAAAAAATAACTCATTTAAATATTTTCCATATTACCGTCTGAGTGTTAGACATACTCGTTATATCGGTAGTGGCAACATTTGCTTTCCGCTTTACATTGTTACTATAATAACTAAATGCATATTTACAGACTCAGCTAATACATTCCAAAATGCTCGTAGCATACACAAAACGGTGTTCACCTCCACACACTGTACTCCGCACACCGAACGTGTTCGTTCAAATTACAAGCATTGTAAATTAGACACCAAAAACAGTTTCATTTTCCACACGAGCGCTGCAGCTAATATTGTCTCACCCCTGAAATATGCAGACTTACCTGCGGGAATGGTTCGGATATAGTGTAATTGTTGAATATACCACATCGTTTAATCCTAGCTACATCTTCTGGAATGTTCGAGAATGCAGCCAAGATTTGCAGGCAGTCTGCGGCGGACTTGGCCTCGGGCCTAACACTTAATACATGGCTTAGCTCCACTCGGGATTTCTCAATGCGTCCCATTGCAAACTGGCTTTTAGCAACACTACTAAGTAAGTCTATAAACAAACATTAAAACTCGTTTACCTTCGGAAACCTTTTAAAAAGAGTTAAAGTTTTAGTACCTCAGAAACGCCTTGAAACTCAAGGTGACTGCAAACAGCCGTCAGCGTCGTCGATGAAATTGCAAAAATGTAAAAGAGCTAATGTTTGCTCACCTTAAACCCCTTCCCGACCCCACGTGCCGGCGTGACGAGCCGGATAAAAGGCTTTAATACACCCTCATCCCTTATTACGAAACTTGAAAAAGACAACAATATAGATCCAATGTGTCGCGGGCGCGGGCAATCATACGCGCATCAAAGGTGACGCGCCTAGGAGTTAGCCAAGTGTGGAGATGCCTTTATGTAACGACGTTTTGTATTACCATTCTGTATGGAAATGTCGAGTCAAAGGGCTACACGCGTTATGAGATTTGAAACAATACGGATTGTGACAATTCTGTTTCCTTTGCACAGGAAATAGTATTGGAATGTTTAATGAGAAGCCTCGGTCGTGTCTCGTACATTTGAATGTCTAGAACATCAGTAATTCTATTCTTAAAAACGAGCCTTATATATTAGATATATGTATATTAAATATATAGAAATAAATGTGAAAAATTATAAAGAAAAATTAGATTGTGGATAACCGATACTTAGGCATAAGAAAGCATCAGGCCATATAAGTGCCCCTTGACCTAATTCAGATTTTAATACCAAACAAATTCGCTTGGTAACATAAAGTTTATGGAAGTCAACCTCTAAGCAAAGTCAAATCCGTTTCTAATACCGTTAAGATATTCTATCAAGTAAGTTTCCCGCCTCCAGCTCAAAAATTTGAAAATGCTACGTTTATGTTATTTGAAATTTCTTGATGGTATACTTTTTAAAATACGCCTTTCTTCCGCTTATCAGTCCACCATAACTTAACAAAACTTTGTGCAAAATCTGCTTCCACACACACCTTGCCTGAACACATCAAGTAGTCATTACCGCCCTCTGAAAAATCTCTGCGCGCTGCTTTGCAAGTCAAAACTCCTTCGGGTACTCTAGGCTCCCGGGAACTGTCGAGAGAGGAGCGCGTGTGAACATTTTTCATATTGAGCTCCTAGATACAGGTGACGTGTTAAATGGCTCGATACTTAAGATTCAGACAAGGGAGCAGCAGTTACATATGTGTTACAATAATTTGCATATGCTGAAGCATCTTGAATAAGACATCTGTATCTTTCATTTGGGCGTAGTACACTGTTTGGATAAAAAAAAATTGCCTTTTAATTTGCGATACTTACTCGATTCATCAGTAGTTTTTGTAAGTGGTTCGATCTCTTACAAAGAAATTTGTATACCCTTGTCCCGTATTACAACGATCGTAGTGAAAGAAATAACTTGTATTCATTTTTACTCGATCCGAATTAACAAATCAATTATCAAAAATTGGTAAAATTAGAGCACAGTGTGACTTTGTGAGTAGTAACACAGGTAAAGTGAATTTATAGCACCTAAAGTGAAGCAGAATGATCAAAGTGAAAATAGCCGCAAAATAAAGGGCCATAAAACATGTCTTACGCTTACTGAATTTGTTACTGGCGTCTTTTCTAAGCTCTTTTTACTGAACTTCAGATAAAGTTGACAGCAAAACAAGCCCTTTTTCTACCATACTACTATGTTATTTATGGACGTAACACTATTTACTTACTTAAAGGGTACTAGAATAATTGTTGAACAATAATTTGTAACTTTATCCCTGAATCCCCTGTACATAACCGAGGCACATATTCCACACAGGTGCAATTCAATTTAGAGATTGGCACTATAATTTTCAATTTAAATCGTGGGCAAATTTGATGGCAAGTAATTGAATACCACTTGAAACTTACTACACAATCTTACAGATATCTCCAAATATGAAAATAGGTAATTTATGTATAATTACTGCTAGCCTTATTCTACTTTACGCCAATATACACACATTATTTAAAAGTATGAAAAGTTGAATAATATATCGACAAATCATCAATTTATTCTCGAAGACAAAAATACAATAGATCCAACAGATGTTGCTAACACATCGTTAAGGCGACGTGTACACCATCACTAAAATTATTCCGTCGTCCGCAGCTCGACAAATTGACATTCAATCAGTGTAGAGACATTGTTTCCCTATCAATCCTTATTGGAAGTTGGTACACGCGCCGATATGCCGCCATCAAAACGCAATTTGTTTATGAAAATTTATTGTATTCGCCATTACCGTGGATTCTTTTCCCTCGACGACCCCGCGGAACGAAATCACCTTATTCAATTCCCTTTTTGCATACATCACACACGGCGTCTTGAAGGGGAACATAGCCGGTTTTGTTCTGAACATGTGAATCGCGTTTGGGACGCATGTTCTCATCTTATTAGTCTGGATTGGATAAAGGTTTTTCTTATATCGCTTAAGGGGTAAGAATATACATTGTTTGTAAAATGTTTTTCGTGGAACAAGGCCTCAGTGCCTTGAGAAATTATTAATAGTAGAAATCTATGAAATTATAATATAATTCAAAAGGTAATCTGTTCACAAAACTGATATGTGGATCGCTTTACTTTCAGTAGCATATTGTGTGTTTTCTTATTCATAATATTTATTCATTTGGTGATAATAGTTTTGCATAAAAGATTGCGGTGCAAGTGCATATTTGTAGTTTTCCAACCAAGGTTATGACGCTTTTGCTGGACCTCGGATCTATTGACACTTATCACGAACCACCTACCTTGGCAGACGTAAAACTAGACTACAACCTTACTATATAATAATAATATAATATAATATTGTATCACATTCACACAACGCCATCTATTCCCAAACTAAGCAGAGCTTGAACTATGGGTACTAAACAACTGATATAAATACATATCTACTTTTTTTTGTAAATACATACTTATTATACATAGAAACACCCAGACCAAATCAAAAATTAAATGTTCATGCTCACAAAATATTTGACTTGCATGAATCGAACCCGCGACCTTTGTAATAGCAGTCCGTTACACAAACCACTACGCCATTCGGTCGTCAATCCTATGATCCTGTCTGATAATTACTCGTATGTTAGTTAAATAATTATTTAACAATTAGATCACATGATTTTTGAGGCAAGGCATGTGAGAACTTCGACGTCAACAGTCGTGACCTCAGATGTATTTTGTCAGGCTTATCCGTGTTGTTAAACTTATAAAACATATCTTTTGCTGTAAGTTCTTGAACCCGAATATTTTTATATGTTATTCGAATGGTAAACTAAAATTTATTAACAGTTTTTTATTATCGCCCCCCGGTTCTTAAGTAACATTGGATGGATATATATGAGCCCTTGAAAAATCCTGTCTGTATACACCAGTGTAATTACTGTTTCTAAAATTGAATTTTTTATAACTCAGAGGTCCGGTTCTTTTACTTGCATTTTACTCAATAATTTCGATACAAAACGTCAGAAGAACAAAGAAGAGGGCAAACAAACATTTGAATAGTATTATCATTGTTACCTGCAAAGTATACGTGTACTCTTATCAAACCAGGAGAGACGGATTACTAGACAATCTCCAATTCCAGATTTGGCAGAATATCATTTATCAGTATAGAATTAGCTCCTCACACGTAAAGGTGCCCAAGTTAGCAGTGTGAACGAAATGTCGCTCTTCCCTTCTGTCTCGAGGCTTTACGAAAAGAATGGTCGCTTATATCACACTTAATAGGGTGAGGAGAGAGCACTACTTATGCCTAATGCGACAAGGAAACATGCTATGCGCCCGTACGCTCGAATACATTTCCAAAAACTGGATTTTCAATGGCAATAAATATGTGAGTGAACCGAGCGACTCCTGCTTTCCACAAAAATATGAAGATTATACCTATTCCATAATTCATTTGTCGTTTGTTGCATTGATTTCGTATTAGGGATGTTTTTGTCGCAGACATTATTTATGATTTGTCTTGTTATACTCGTACTTGGTACAAGTAGCTAAATATGGATGGTACACCTGCAGCGTCAAAAAATGTAGCATTAACCCCTTTTCTTGTGATATAACAATAAAGTGGTGACGTAGTCGTAAACATGGTGAAACGCGACTTCGTAAAAAGCTACGATGTCGGTAAATATGGACAGACGATGTCTCCGGTCGGTAAATGTTGGGAAAACGACTTAACAGCCTTTTACCAGCCAACAAGAGGTACTAAGCAAAAATTTTTATGGATGTATCTCTAGTGAAACCGGTACTTTTAAGGATAAATTTTAAATATTTTAAACATCAAGTAAAGGCAAACGGAACCACGGCTATATGCAGTCTAATTTTACATCAGAATACTGTTGAGTGATATAGTGTAATGATTATATTATTATGCACCTTTCTTCATATTATCACATAAAGATACTTTAAACGCAATTGCACGATGCAGTAATGATGATGCAGAACGTATTGAACAAAATCGATTAGTAATCCTACGATAAATTTTGAATACTAAAAATAAACTTACAGCAAAAATTTTGTTATGAACTTGTCGTAAAGAATTTACCACATGTATGTATTCAGAGTAACAATAAAAAGTTATGAACATTAGTATTATTATTTGTATATTTCGACTATTTTTATAAAATAAGCAAGTTAACTTTCTAAATAACTTGTCACAATTTTTTAGAAAAAACTCATATTAATTGCCACAACTAAGTCACTAAAGGACATCAATGTAAATATAACTTTAAATACATCGCCGAAGTTTATTGAGCTTTAAAGATGTTCCTTAAGTCTATAAATTAAGACGGTAACGCACCGCGACCATAAAACCTAATATAAGTAATCTTTATTTCCTTACACGCCGCTAAATCAGCAGATTATGGTAAATACTGTAGATATTATTGCGCATACGACGTTCGCATACATAACTAGAGTTTATCAACCGCCCCTGCTAAAAAGCTGTTATATTTTCAACACATGATTATGTAAAAGAATTCCAAGATTTTAACATACGAGGGAAAAGCAATGTGCGTCGTTAAGACGCGAGGTCTCTAAGATTTGCATCTCTACCACACAAAAGTGTGGGGGTCTTTCCACGCGATAATGCTAAATATTACTTTGTGTGTATCTTGTAAGTACTTACCCAATTCCGAATTTGAATTTACAGTTTCAAAATTTACACTTTTATCTAAATAAATGATTTCAATTTCAAAAGGTCATTTTGTCAATATTGTTATTAAGGTAAAAAAATATATTATTATATAAACCTTTCAGTAGCTTTATTTCCTAATATATTTTAGATCAACACAGAACAAATTGGTTAAATTATGAATAATTCAACCGCTTTGTTAAAGAATTTGCTTAGTTATAATTTCTAATTTGTTGCAGCTAGTCGAAATATTATATATATATATTTGGATTACACATAATACTTTTAGTTCTTATTTATGTATTTTGTTTATTTTGAGGTACACAAACAATTTGTACTAAACAAAATTTTCTTAACAACTCATATGCGTTAGATTTTTATAGCAGTACATACAAGAAATAATATGTATCCACGGATCTTCTTATTTATTTATTTTTTACATATTTATTTATTCATATCTCATCGAGTAACAAAACTCATAGTGTTAGTAACAATTTGACTTATAACTATGTTAGTAAATGAAAAACAAAAACACAACGAATTACAATGACATGAACCGGTACCTAACATGGCACATACATGGGCATTATGCTGCAGGTCCAGCAGAGAGTCTGCAACACCGGTTCACGATCGCGGAATCCATTCGGCTAGCGATCATTTTTAGAATGCTGTTGGTGCTGCCCCGCACCCTGCGTACCAGGGACGCGCATCTCTTACGCATTACTGTATAAAAGCAATCAACGCGGGCTTCTGCAAACATCCCTGAAGCACCACAGAAACGTGGCAACCCCACCAGCACCCTAAACGCGTTGTTATATTGAACTCGAAGGGCGCTGTATGCTTTTAGTGTAAAACGATCCCACAGGCTACACGCGTAGAATGAGATACAAAATGCACGGAATAATGCGATCTTGACCACACCCGAACAACGTGCAAACCTGCGAGCTATCATG